GGCTCAGGAGGCAAAAGGAAGGCAGAGGCATTTTAAGAGCCATTTTTCACCCTTGCAGGCTCCCTGCACCCCTCGTGCCAGAGGGAAAACGTCCAGCTCCATCCCTGACGATTTTTACCCTGTGACTGATCCAATACAGGCGTGCAGTTTTGCAGCTCGCGTGGATACAAGACCTGTGCCAGAGATGTGACCCTGACGGCTCCCACGATGGACTTATCCGCAGCATCACCGTTATCCGTGACGCCCTGGTTCTCACGACACGGTGCTCCTCTTCATCAAACTCTGCAGCCTCCCAGGTTCTGCTCTGAAAGTCCCCGTTAACGGTGCTTTGGAGGGGGCTGTCGCACACATCAGCGTTCAAGCCCACCGACAAGCTCTCCTGGTCCACCTGCGCCACTCCCCGCTGCCAGCCCGTCCGAGGAGTGTGCTCCAATCATTCAAAACCTTCTTTCCATTTCCAGCACTTAGGAAATGTACTTTTGGGAGTACATGATGAAGAGTGAGGAATTTGAGTCAATATTTGGCCTCACTGCTGGATACAAGGGTAGGGACTATGGAAAGAGGAGTGACAACCAAGGTGGGGAGTGATTTTACATTTCCCCCCCCATGAAAGCAGCAACAGAGGGAAGGGCCTTTAACCTGCAAATGGCACTAATGCAATTATTTTTACAAGAGAGAGCGCAATTTCTCTTTTTTCCTACTGCCAAGCATGAGATGCAGCCTCATTTTATCATCCCAATTCACGCTGCAGGAAGCAGGACCTGTGGAGCTCTGATAACATTGTAGGAAAGCCTGAAAATAGTTAAACCAATTGTTTTAGCCCCAGGCCTTGCTTCAAATAAACCTGCTGAGCTTCTTCCTTACATACAACCCTTGACCACACAACCTTAAAAACAACAAACCCCAAACAGTCTTTTATTCAGGTCTCCAAAGAGCAAACACTATCTTCCTACTGCTTCCATTCAAGCCAGTATCAAAGCCCGGTAGCCGCCACGGATTAGCAAAGCCGGGGCAGAAAGGCACAGCCTTTGGGACCTGCTTCCCCGTCAAGAGTCAGCGAACAAACGTGTAAATAAGGGCTGAAGGCAGAAATGTCCAGCCCTCTCCCTGGGTAAGAGAGCGGGCAGGTTTGCAGCTCGCAGGGCAGCGCCAGCTCACACGCGCTTGCCAACGGGTCAGCAAAACCCGCCCATAACAGAACAGAAAACCTTTTTATAAAGCTGAAGTTAAAACCAGCAGAAAGTCAGTGGCTTCCTTATTTTAGAAAGGGTGTGGTTTTGCCAGAGCAAGTGGTTAAAGACAAGCTGTGCCAAACTTGTCTTAGCTGCAGGCTAATTTAAACCTTAACTGTAAAGCATCTTTCTAATTACAGACCTTTTAACTAATTACAGGTTGAGCTTTTTGGTCTTGCAAAGGTGACTGCTTTTGATGCTCTCTCCCCACGTTCAGCTCCGGATGAAACTTGACCTATCCACGGTGGGCAAAAAGGTGAGGAGATGCTGCTTGCTCAGCTGACAGGAGCTGCAAAGCTGAAACTTCCAGAATCAGGAGAGCGGGAAGGAAAAAATCCTTTCTGCAGATAAGTCAAAGACGTAAAACTGCTCGATTCAGAGGCTGGTTCTCTCTACAAAGCAAAGGTTAATCCGTCTTCAGCTCTAGAAGTTACACTGGTAACTGAATAGCTCCTCCAGATGCAGATGGACATCCATAAAACACCCACAGATAAGCACTGCTAACTTTTCAATCGCACACTTGAGGGACCATACGCATTTGATTGTCACAACACGGATGGCACCAGACCATACGTTCAACCTGACACCATCGAGACCTAATAAACTCTTCAACAGCTTGGACTTGAATCAGTGGCATGGTCCACAAGGTCGTTCAGTGTAAGGAAGGAGAATAAAATCAGAAAAGTTAGAGTTCTGTATAATTAGAATAAGTAGTGGCGTTGTAATTAATGGTCAGAAAAAATGAAGAACCAGGAAAGCCAGACTAGAGAGAGTCCCTCTCCCTGTGATGACGGAAAGGCCATTTTTGCATCAAATTAGACTCGGTCACCATCTCCCACTGCCCAGCCTGGGCCATATGCTAGGACAAACGCTTCTTGTAATGTTCCCCAAAGGCGTTCATCTACCCCGGTCCCCAAAGCCCCAGACACTGGGTTTCCTCCTCCCAGCCAGGCAGCTCTAGCACTTCAACATCCTCCACAAGAGACTTCTCCTAATGACTACCTTAAATCTCCCTTGCTACAGTTTAAGCTCATTACTTCCCATTTTCAAATTGCAAACTGCAATTAAAGCCCATTCAGATGCTTATAAACGCCCCAAAAGGGGCCCCTATGAATCTGTTCCCTCCAGCCCGTGCTGCTTCAAAGCAATTCCTAGTTTTGGGAGAGAAAACCCCAGCCAGAGGAGCTGCTGCCGCATGGCTCATCCAGGTTTCTCCTTAGAAGACAGACGTCTGCGGACAGGGTCCTCGGCATGCCATGGCAAACTGACTCTAAGCAAAGCTTAGCTTCAGCTTAGCTTGAAATGAAACTGTGAGCACTGAAGTAGATAAAAAAACAAAACACAGAGTGAAAACCCTCTGGGAGAGGAATAACGCTAGGAATGGGTCCAGCAGCTGTCATCTGAAAAAAGGCAGAGGGTTGTTAGAAACCAGCAGTGTTTAAGGGCACCTCTGCCCTCACAGCGATTATCCTCTGGGTTGGATGCTACAGGCGTTCGGGAGCCGATTTACAGCCGGATCGGACATCCTTGCCTTGAAGACAGCAGCATCCATCAGAGGGGTGGGGCAGGCACGGTGCACGCGTCAGGTTGTAACGCACGGCCCGTGTCGGCCTCCTTCCTAGAACTGCAAAGCAGGAGGAAACCCGCAGGTTTCTCACCCATTTATCGAGGAAAAGGCCCCAGAGGGAGATGCAGAGCGCATCTCCCATCCCATCACACGCGTACATCGTAGGCTCACAGTACTTTGCTGGCTGGCTCAGGCAGCTTGTGGAGTCACCGCCTGAATACAGTAGGATTTTTTAATGGGTTTATTTTTCATACTGTATCTTTTCTATTCTAGGACTTAAATCAAACAGCAGGTTTATTATCGCAAAATGAAAAAAAAATTAAAAGAACAATCTTGAGTGGTAATATTCTGTCTCCTCAATCACAGCATTCAGAGACCTGAATCCATTAGTCTCATCCAGAAACAAACCTTGCGCCGGGATGTGACACCAAGTACAGCAGGTTTATTATCGCAAAATGAAAAAAAAATTAAAAGAACAATCTTGAGTGGTAATATTCTGTCCTTCCTCAATCACAGCATTCAGAGACCTGAATCCATTAGTCTCATCCAGAAACAAACCTTGCACCGGGATGTGACACCAAGTAACTACTGGGGTTTCAAGTCTCCTGGAGATGAAAGACCCGTACGCAGGAATGCAGCCACAGCAGTCCCAGGACCTCACATTCATTTCTCCTGCTGCCGGAGCAGCTCGAGGACTGAGAGCCCACATCCTGCCTGGTCCTTCCGTTCCCCATTGCCTCCCCCGTGCGAGCCAGGCTTCGCTCCCCAACGAAAGGCTTCGGGGGAAAAGAGCTCCAGGCCCTGCGAGATGGGATGTTCGTGACTCAGGGGAGCAGCTCCCCGCCTGCCTCGGTGTCCCCAGCTCTGCCCCTGCAGCTGGGAGCGCTGGCAGCGGGCAGGACCGAGCCTTACCAGCCCTTGTGGCTCCTCTCCCATCCTCGCACCGACAGCACATGCTCCTCTCGAGGGACCACGTGTGGCACGCAGGACAAGGACACATGGCCTTCGGTCCTTGAGAAGGGGGGCGGCAGCACGTTCTTGCCTCCCGTTGGCCTTAAAGATCACTACGAGCACAACATCTTCTTGTGGGGTGAGAAGAGGAGGACTTTTGGGGCTGCCCCTGTTCTGAAGCCATATTGAGCGATGTGCTCACCCCCTCACTTATGTCTGAGGAGCACTTTAAAAGCAGTTTAACCCGTGTGGGAATCTGGTTAGGTTGAATAAACCATGAGCCTCATTAAAGGAGGCTTAGACTGAATTAAAACCCTTCTGCTTAATAAATTAGGTTAAAGTCAGCCCAGATTAGAAAATCCCTATAATAAATCAACCCTGTAGATTCAACCAGCTCTCAACTGCTAGTTATTTTCTCTGGCTGCTTTTAACCCCGTTTTCTCCCTCTTACTGAGCAATGATAACCGCACCGGGCTCTCGGTCGACCTCTGGACTGCCAGCTCACCTGCCAGGGGCCACAGGGATGGACGGGGGTGACACACTGTCACGATAAAGCCCGCACAGAAACAGCACGAACACCACGTTTTGTGTGCCACAAATACAGTGCTGAGGATTTGGAGGGATGAATCATCACGCGAAGCAAGAACAATTAGAGATTCATAATCGGAAGGAGGGAAGGCTGGGGTGGGATGAGAAAGGGAAAGAGCAGGGCTGGGATTAGTTACTTCAGAAATATTAATAATATCTCGAGTTACCAAAGTACCGCACCCCCAGGCCAGACCAGCGACGTAGAGGGGGTGCGATGTTAATAAAAAAATGTGATTACATGTCAGTATGTCCCGCATCCTACACTGACTGCCAGGGAAGGGTTTTTAGCTAATTAAAGGATAACGATCCTTTACTTTGAGGCCACAGAAATACTTGGCATGACCACGCTGAGCCTCACCTCTGCAGAGGGAAATGTCTCCCTCTCCATGAAGGGGATCCCTCCCTTCCCCAACCGGGAAACACGGCCCGGGAGGGCAAATGGAATTGGTTTGTGGCAGAAGCCAGGGGAGGATCCAGGAAAAATCACCCTCCCTTTGAGACATTTAAGACCAAGGAAGCATTTCCCCCGCTATCATCTTGTCTGAGCAATGGGGACCGGTCCTCCGCTGATGCTGGAGAGCATTTAACAGCGCAGCCGTTGAAGACGGGAGGCTGGGGCAGCTAGTTAATGGCCTAGACGTCAACACACCCGTTTCACTGACCTGGGTTTCTGAGGGGATTCTTTGGGCTCCTTTGAACTGAACCAGCCGCTGGTTTTATTCCTCTCATCTCCCCCTGCCGTCGCGTGGACGGACGAGTCGTGGGAGAATCCCACTTTCTCCCCCTGGCCTTTGCTCCCCACGTCACTCTTGTTGCCCCCGTGGTGGAAGAGGCCGCCCTTCGCCTTCTTGTCTTCCTTCCTCGTTTCCTCAGGTTGTTTGTCCTTCGTCGTTTCCGTGGAGAAGACCATGGGTGTTGCAGCTTGAGTCGGCTTGTTCTCTAAGCGACTGTTTTCTTCCATCTTGGCTCTGCCCAGATGGTTACTGAGAGTGACGGCTTTCGTGGAGACCTTGAGCTCTTCTTGCAAGGCTAAGCTGGGAGGAGACGGGATGAACCTGGGCTCGTCTCTCTGCTGTGTCCTCTCAAAGTTGCTGATCCCCCAAGGCACCTCGTGGAAGTCGGGATGGAGGGGAGTGAAGCCGAAGCCCTCCTCCTGCCGTCTGGGGACGCTGGGCACGGACAGCGGCGCAGAGCTCTGCGGGACAGACACGGGGCTCTTTGGTGCAGGTTCATCGCTGTAAACGTGGCTCCCGTTGATGCAGAGGGAAGACCGGGACACGGGATCGTTCTTTGGCTTCAGGCTTTGGATTGCTTTGGGCTCCAGGACCGGGCTGACTTGGGAGACATCGTCACTGAATGCTCTCTTGTGGGTCAGCTTTGGAGATGGCAAGTAGTCTTTCACTGGGGGGAAATAAAACACAAAATGAAGGTGAGGCCATCTGAGTAACAGGCACAGGTACGACAAGCATCGTTATCTTCTACTTGCAAACACTAAAAAGATCTGTGAAATCATACTGGCTTTCTCCCTCCCAGGCTCTACCGGATTATAATTAAATCACTAGAAATGCAAAGCACAGGTCACAAGTATGTGGCTATACAGGCTATATGATATTCTCCCCAAGCACATCACCTCCCGCTGCAGGATCCGGAGAGGAGTCTCTATAAGACGACAAACCCCTTGTCTGAGAGGATCTGAGATCAATAATAAATGCAAGAAACTACCCAGAAGCTACTTAAAGGGTTTATGCTTCCGTGTGATTTAAGAGTTTGCATTGAATAAAAGACAAGCCCCCGAGCTCCGCTCTGACAGGCCAGGCTGCTGCTGTGCGTGATATAAACCAGGAGGGTCCAGCGCCTGTTTCTCCCTCCCACTGCCTGAACGACAAGCCCCGAGCTCCGCTCTGACAGGCCAGGCTGCTGCTGTGCGTGATATAAACCAGGAGGGTCCAGCGCCTGTTTCTCCCTCCCACTGCCTGACCCTGTGGCTACTGCTAACTCTCAGCAGATTTTGGGGTTACGTGGAGAGCCCGGTGAGAAGGACTGCCTGGACTTTAGGTGACACGCAGCTGCTCTCCCATTCTAGACGGAGATGCTGCCTCCTTCACCACGACACGAGGATGATGGGGCCAGACCGGTGCCTCCGCTCGCTCTCTGGCCACGCACGGGAATGTCACCCAGCAGAAACCGAGAAGCATCATGTGGGTGGCTTCACCAGCACAGTGAGAAGCAGCACGTACCCAGGGACTACCACCCAATATGGGAATTTGCTGTCTCCAGCCAATTAAGCCATTTAATTATATATTTTGTTTTCAAGGGACGGCAAGAATTAATTCACTACAAGGGCCTTTTTTGTTTGCAAATCGCCGCTCTCCGAGCGCCAAGAGCTCAGATTGCTTTAATCACCAGGAACCGGTCACTGTTTCAGCTTTGCCTCCAAGCCGGAGGCGTCTCATTAGACAGCCGGGCAGCAGCGCAGCAGTAACGTGCTCTGCTTCGCCCAGCCCTCTCCCAGGGGCTTACTGCTATGAGTCAGTGTTAGCGACCCGCTTTTAGGGGGCAGAGAAGAAACGGTCCTAAAGAACCCTCGTAGCCCGCAAGCTCGTGGTGCGCTGCAGAGAGCACATGCAGCATCAGCCTAAGTCAGGCTGTTCATATACAGGCTCAGCATGAAAAGCAGAATCTTAGATGTCTCCCCCCGTTCTGGCAAGCACGTTACTGCCAGCATGCAGAAGGTCTCGGAGGGTTTGTGCAGGACGCCGCTTCTTAGGTAAGCAGTTAGTTAACAGGTTTGCAGGAAAGCCTCAACAGTCCCTTACAAAGAAAAGAAAGGGGAAAAAAGTGTGTGGGGGGAGGATTAAAACCGTTATCCTCTTACCAGAGCGCTCCGTGGACAGACTGCTGTGTCTGCTCGGGGATTTGGTTACCTCGGGAACATTTGCAGCCAAGCCCAGGCTGGCAGAAGAGATGGTGCTGTCAGATCCCAGGGAGGTGTTGGATTGCGTCAGGGATGACTTGCGCAGCTTGTTCTTCAAGAAGAAGCCCTTGACTTTGGACTTCTTGCCCCCGATGTCGTAGTCATCCTCCATGTCGAGGGCGCCCATGCTGCTGGGGATGATGGCAGAAGCCGACTCCAAGTCGTATTTCTTCTTGCCTTTCATCTTGTCCTTCAGCTTGCCGAAGGGCGACCGCGGCTTGTCCTTCATGGACAGGTCGAACATGCTGGCCGTGAGGTTGTTGCGCGTAAACTGGATGCTCACCAGGATCTCACCACGCTCCTTCTCCTTCTTCCCAGCCTTGGAGTGTAGCTTGTGCCACCTGGAGCCAGAGAGGAAAGAAAGGAGAGGCCCCTCCGTCATTTCCAAGAGCCGCAAGCCAGGAAGACCTTGGGGAGGATGCTGCTGGGTGGGAGCTAGCACAAGCGCCCCAGAAGTCACCTAAGACCTGAGTCAGAGACACGCAAACACCAAGCATGGAGGTGTCGCACGGAACCAGACCTCTCCCTGAAACGCAGCGGCTTTACAAGAGCTCTGTCTCCATCCCTGTCCTCAAGCACTTCCACTAAATAACCTGGCAAACACCACCTCGCTCACCCTGGCATCAGATACCGCCGTGAGTTTCAGGGGAAAGTTACCGGTGGCCAAATTTTTGTATGGTCAGTTGATACGTTGCTGTGAGCCCATGTTTAAAAAAAGACGGTGCTTTGTGCTTGCGTTTTAAATATTCAAGAGCCAGTGACTCAGAACAAATCCTTTCAAGTCAGAGACAGTACCGTAATGGCAAAGGCACTCAACAACATTCATTAAAATAACTTTATGCCAGACCTTCCATGCCTCACCCTAAATAAAGATGCTGAAGTTTGCCTAGAAGTGTCCTTGCATCAAGCATTTAGAGGATGTTGCATCCCAAGAGCCCTTCAAGGGCAGGAGGAGCTGCCGTGCAGCACCTACCCTACCCAACCCTACCCTACCCTACCCAGGTTGCTGGATTTTTGGGAAATATCTGCATCCCCACAGCCTGCCGATGGCAGTCTCCAGCCTGTGGTACAGCTTTGGGATCTGTGATGACCTGATGTGATCGGTGACGGTGGGGGATGCAGCAAACCTATACGCCCATCACCTTCCCCTCCTCCAAATCCCTCAATTCTGCTGAAATGTCTGTAAAATTTGAGGCAACCAGAAGCCTGAGCCAAGGAGGGAAAAGGACTTTATTTTAACACCCCTCGTGCCGGTCGCCAAAGCCCAGCACCACGCCGCTGGGGCTGGTGAGAGCTCCCAAAGGAGCTATTGGCCATATCCACCAGCGCAAAAGCTTCAACCAACTCCGCAGCAGGTTACTGGGGGATGCTCCCCGCTGCTCTGCCCCAGACGAAACCCATAACGCAGACTTTGCTCCGTAGCTTTGCACACAGGGATGGAAGGAGCATGGGAAAAGCCTCCAAAACATTCACTGCAGAAGGCAAAAAACCCTCCCAACCTCCATTTAGGGCCCGATCCTTCCGCAGGGAATAGCCTGTGCACTAGCAGGGCATGGAGCAACCCCTGGTATGCGATGGGAGAGGGGACTTGCCTCCTGCCAGCTGGAATGAACGATGGGTGAGAGGACACCAAAGCAAGAGATGCCTGGAGACACCTTCTAGTTCTCCAGTTCACAGCAGTACCACGCTCAGATGGGGCAGCACGAAACACGGGTCACAAGGGAACCGTTTCTTCCCCAAAACCGCTGCCGACCCAGCGGGCCTTCGCTCCCCTCTCCTCCAGCGAGATGCCCCGTCTTTGTGCCCTGGTTCCAGGTGCCGCTTCCCAGGGCGGCTGCAGCAGGATGAGCGGGTCTGCAGCACAGCTGCTGCCCTGGCAGCTCTGATCCCTCCCGGATCAAAGAATTAAAATTCCCCTTAACAAGGCGCAAGGAAATCTGTAGGTTCAGGACAGACCCTGTTTCTCTGTGACACGCTTCATTGGAGAAACACGCAGCAACGGGAGGTGGAAGAAATTTCTAGACCTGGGTTAACAATTTCCCATTGATTTCCCAGAAAATAAAAATCCCGGTGGTGTTTTCCATCCACTCGAAAAGTAAAGTCACTGAAAAGAAAAAAAAAAAAGGGGGAAGGAAAATGTGAAGGGATGGAGATGGGTGTGACCATGCTGAAATCACCAGGGCGAGGAGAAAACTTGAATCACGTCCTCCAGAAGTTCCTGAATTACTGCTGGGGAAGTTATCGCCATCTCAGATGAAGGGAGGAGCTGGAAAGCCTGAGGAGGGCTTGGGAAGGGGGCACAAAACCCCTAACTCCCTGCTGGGATGCTAGGATAAATAACAGGAGCGTACAGTTGGAAGTACCCAGGTCCTTCGCCATCCAATTCTGCTGCCGCCGAAATGCAAGAGGGACAGCGCCTGGGACTTTGCTGGGCACAGACGCGGGGTTAAATCCCCAGCGAACTCATTCCTATTCCCACCATTTGCTTATTCCACCCCCATACAATGCCCTTTGAAAAATGTTCAGTACCCAGGCTTCAAGCTTGAAAATATCCAGGCATACAGAAAAAAACCCATGAAAAAAAGCAGCATTAACCCCTTACAGCAAGCCAACGGCAGCAAAGAGACACTCAAACGGGCTGATCCGCTGCCAGGGAGCAGTTAGGGGAGCAGGAGCAGGTGAGTCAGGCGGACCCTTCCCGTAGGAGCAGTGAGGAAAAGGCTGCTTGGAACAGGCTGTGGCCACAGCACATCAAATATTACGTTGCTCAGTTTGATGCGAGACCTGGAAGAAGTTCAAGAAGGAAGGGCTGCAGCAGCCTGCCAGCTGGGAGAGGAGAGATTTGGGGGCTGAATCATTTAGCAGGAAAAGAAAAAAACTTCGCGAGTAGTTTTTATATCTTACGTCATCCCATGGGAAAAAAAAAAAAAAAGAAAAAAAAAAAGAGAGAAAATCTGGGTGGATTAACATAAGGAAAGGCACAAGCTTGAGGATGATGAGATGTAACAGCCCGTAAGAGCCCTGCACTGGCTCAGCTCACATGGATGCGCTCTCAGCATCTCCCGTCCCATCACTTATAATGTTGTGGTCATTAAAATTAATTTGGGTGCTCGGCGGCGACACCTTTGAAAGAACAAGCCTTAAAACCTGATCTCTTCAAAAAGCATCCGTTCAAGGAAAAACCTCTGCTTATGCTGGCGCTGGATTAAGGAGCTATTTTTGGTTCCCTAGACCTAATCAGCAGTCAGCAAGCAGTCGGGACTACACCTCAAACAGGGAACAGAGCTATTTTTAGGCTGAGCTCTAAGTTTATGGCACAAAATGGGTGTTTGGGATGATTAAGTTGTTCCATGTTCGGTTTTTCTTTTTTTTTTTAATGAATCAGTTCCAGTGGAAACAGGAGGTACAAACACTGCCTCAGCCGGGATGCGGCAGGAGGGCGGGTTTCAAGTCCCAGCCCAGCTAAACACAAACTCCCGCAGCATCTTTTCGCTATTAACCCCATCCCTCGGGTTGGGAACCCCTCGGTTCCCCATGTTTCTTCCACGAGCTGCCCTTGGGGGGAAGCCCTGGGTGAGGGGTTTCTGAATCAGGGCCACCCGAGCCCAAGCCTCAGAGGGGGACGCGATCTCTTTTAAGGGACTAGATGATACACCTAGGGAAAAAATAACAGCTTCTGCACATACAAACCCTTTTCCAGGTCTGAAATAGCAGCCATGGGCTTCGCAGCTCAGGCTCAGACCAATCGCTCTGAATTTAACTGGGTTATATTAATCAGACTGTGGAAGAGGTGCTGGCACTGAGGAGCGTGGGGAGATTGAGGAAGCCGTGCCAAGCACGTCCAGCACCGGGGACCCAGGACTGCAAGGACCCGCTTCTCAGAGGTGTTTTGGAGGCCTCTCTTGAGGAAGGTGCCACCAGTTTGGGTCCAGCTCCTCACTGCACGGGACATCCAGGACAAGCCACCCATCTCTGGCCACCTAGTCCCGGGGGGCTGTTCTTAGCAAGGTTCGGAGGGGCCACAGCCTGACATGGATTTTGCTAGTTAAAAAATGTTAAATTAAAGAGGGTCTCTTCTCCCGGTGCCAGAGCTGGTGGGGACAGGGAGAAGGATTGCTCCTAGCTAAGGAGACGTGCTCGGTCCCCGAGCCTGTGCTCCTTCCCTGCTCCCTGCAACTGGAAACGGGTCTCCCCCTGAACACAGAGCGGAGGATGAAACCTGCAGCTTCCCAGCCTGCTGGTCCCATATCAACACCCTCCTCCTGCTCCATGGAGAACTTCTCCTTTCCACCCGCCAGCTGCTGCCCACCTCCACTGCAAAGGTGATGCTTCTGCTGAGACACCTCGGCCCTGGCCGTATGGGGAGCCAAGCTTGCTCAGAGATATCTCCAACACAACAAATCCAGGGAACGCAGCTCGAGCCAGCTTGAAGACACAAGCTGCAAGTTCAGGCAATTAGCTTTTGCTAAAAAAAACCCCATTTCTTCCCTCTTATGCCCCACAGGTCCAGCGCCTCTGTGCATTGGGTGCCGGCTTGCAGCATTGCACCATGCTGGGCGTGCATCCCCCCAAAGGCAAAGGACTTCTCGCAGCATCACCCCGAGATCTGCCATCCACAGATGCTTGCGGCAGGCGGACACCCAGGCCCCAGGGATCTCTGCAGGAGGAAGGAAGCAGCAAGCCACCCCAGCACACAGGGACGGGAGAGGAAACCTCAAACAGAAAACTCCCCACAGACGCCCCAGAGAGGGGAAGCAACTGGAGGCCCCTGCGAGCTCTCGGGCAGCTCCTGGGAAGTGGGACGTGCTCCGGGGGTTTGCAAGCTCACATCCTGCTGCAGTAACACTGCTTGTGAGCACTGATGTACAGCGAAGGGCTCCCCAGCCCCCCTGCGTGACTGTGCACGCTCATTTAGGTCACCGTGTTTAATCAGCACATCCAAACTGCCTCCAGACAGTTTCAGGAAAACCCTTTCCTGTGCAAAGGCTCCTCTCTCCTCCCATTTGCCTCCACCGAGAGTCAAAGAGAACAGCGAGCCACGGAGCACGGCTGCCAAAACACAGGTTTGGGAGAAAAAGCAGCAAGCACCCGGCATCTATTTTTACATTTGCTGTTGCCAGGATCAATTGGAGCAGCAAGGGAGGCACGGACAGCAGAACACAAAGCGCTGCTGTATCTCCAGGCCCCCAAAAAACACGTGCTTTCCCTCATCCTCTAGCAGCATCCCATACCGGAAAGCCAGCTAGTGCTGAGCAAAGGGAAAAAACACCCTGCCATGGAAACAAGAGCGTAGGAACTGTTTGTTAAGGAGGGAAAGCAACCCCACGGAGGATGCTGACAG